GCCCGGTGCCCGCCATGGAGGCGGCGGGCGCCGAAGAGCGCCGCGTTTGCGGCTGCTGCTCGGGCTCGTCCTGGCCGCGCTGCTGCAAGGCACCCGGTGAGGAGGGGGAGTGTGGCGAGCGGGGCGAAGGGGGGGCCCGCGCCCTCCTGGCTGGACTACCTGCTCCGGGGGTGACATTGCCGGCGGGGCGGAGGAAGAGGAAGCGGCCCCCGGGGCTCACCGGAGGGCGCGGAGCGGGCTCGGGCGGCCGCAGAGGGTGCCCGGCACCGGCTGCCCGCGGGCGGCGGCTGCAGCCCCGCCGCCTCCCAGCCGGTCCCGGCGGCTTCGTACCTGCCGCCCGCCGGGGCGACACCGGGGCCCCTTTCGCCGCGCTCGGCCTCGCCCTCGCCTTTCCCCTCCGCCTGCCGTGGTGCTGGCCCTTGGGCTTGCAGGCCGGGGCCCGGTGCTCCCCCTTCCTCCCTGCTGGCGGGCCCCCGTCCCCGGGTCGGGCTGCTGCTCCGTCGGCTCTACGCGGGGCTGCCAGAGCTCCGGTAGCCGTTATCGCCCGGGAAGAACAGTGCTTCCTGTTGGCAGAGTTTTAAAGTAAAACTTGACAGGTTTGGGTAAATCGGGGCGCCTTCCCGCGGTGTGAGCTTCTGGCCCTGCAGGTACGCTGAGAAGGGGCAGGGGGGCTGCTCAACAAGTCCTGAGGCTTGTAGCTGTGGCTTCCTTGACAATTCTTCACTTGCTTTACTGTCAGCTTACTCTTTTATTTTTATCTTACTCTATGCTTCGCTTCTTGGTCATCTTGGATTGTGAAAGTCACAAACTTACTGCGAAATACGCTTTTGTAAGTTTCACGTGGCTCCCTTTCAAAACATAAATGCCATCTTAGAATAATTTTTTTAAGTTATCTAAAGTACTTCTGCCCGTGTAACTTTTAAACAAATTCACTGAAATATACTTCTTGTTAAATGTGGACTATAATTGACTTTCCAGCAGAAAATTGATAAAATTGTAACCTTTGTTAGCTGTGAAGAGGCCAAAAGAGATAGCATACTTCACCAGTGAATTTCACATTAGTATCACTTCTGAGGCAAAGCTTGGGGAAAAAAAATACTTGAAATCCTGAGAAACTTGTATTTTTTGGTGAATAAATGCTGCTTTTTTTTTTTAATAGTCTGTCTAGCAAAATGTTGAGTCAGTGGCTGAACTCTATGAATCATGCCTAGATCTTGTCTGCATGACCATGAGTAGTGCCTGTGCAGGCTGTGGTGCTCCTGGCACTGCCCTGTAGCCTGTGAGTGAGATGTTTTCTGCTTCTTGTGGTCTGGAGAACGGGCCACCCGCTTCTGGCCTTCCTGAAGGCCTGGGGGAATCATCTTTGGACCACCTTCCCCATAGCCAGCATTCTCCTGCTGCTGTTCTTGAGATGCGTGTCTGTGAGAAGTGCCGTTTTCTTCACTTTATATGCATTTTGCAACTATAAAAACTGCAAGAAAGCATGGCATTAAAACGCAAACAGAAAGACTTTAGAGAGAAAATGGTGTGTAATGGGATGGCTTTGACCAGGACTTTAAACAGGAGTTTGAAAGTTGTTTGAAAGAAGTTTGTTTGAAAGCCTTACATGTGGAAATGGCAGGAAATAAATAAACCAAATCTCAGATCTGTAGCCAGAAAAGAGGACTCGGGTGCTACTTGAAACTTTTATGTTCAGACTTCTTTTTTTTTTTTTTTGCAACTTTTATTTTCAGACTGCTGCACTTTTTTTAAAAAGCAGGAGTGCTGGAGTGTTTTGATGGCATTGGGCTAGTGTTTGGAGGCTTAATATTTTGTGAGGTGGGAATGTTATCTTAACCTCACTTCTCCTTTGAATATATTTTGAAATAGGTATTCTTCAGAACTGCAATTCTTGTTTTTGGTGGAAGAACTTGTACCGTTTTGTTTTTAAAAGGAAATAAAACACTTTCTCATTGCACTGAGTACATGCTTTGGCAATATGAGATGTTGGTGGTTTAAATTCTAGTATTTCAAGCCCCTGTTTGTGATAGGCTGGGTATAGTGGTGAGCTTACAAAAATTAGTTCCTTCTGGGTTGTCTTTGTTCCTTCAAATCCAAAGCTTAGTTCTGGGTGTAAGGTCCTTTCAGCTTACTTTGCTTTGATTTGATTGGTTTTCCATTTCAACACCTCCATTATTTAGCTTGGCTTTGTGCAGTAGCAATCAGACGAGCTATCATGCCTGAAATAAAAGTTAGTAGTTGTGTTTGTGCTCTGTTTGCCCGTGGCCAGCCTGGGTTTGGATTTCCTGTGTCAGCTATAGGCCAGTCGGATGCCTCTTGCTTTAATGTTAGAGGCAGTGTTGATTTTTATAGTTCTGTTGTGTGACTGTGTGGATTAGGACGTTATGAAATTCATGAAGGTTTTTAAAATCCACTCTGTTTCATAGTTGGTAGATGTCCCGGTCCGGTGTTGGCTGCTGGTAGTTTCTGGTAGTTTCTATAGTCTCTTTTACGTAAGTGGCTGTTGCTAAATGGAAATATGTCTTGTGGAAATGGCCAATTGTTTTCAGTGGTGGTGGGGATGGGTTTCTTCAGAAGCAGCCCTTGTGGGGGTAGTTGTGAAGCCTGGTCCCCAGAGCTGGTAAACCCAGAGCCAAGGCTGGACATGCTCTATCAGCCCAGGGGCTCGCCTCTGGGGTAGAAGGATGATGGTTTTTATCAGAGTTAGGCTGATGGTTGGACTTCATGATCTTAAAGGTCCCTTCCAACCTAGACAATTCTATGATTCTGTGATGCAGTTTCTCAGCCTCACGTGGTCGTCTTGAGGAGGCTCAAGATGGTTTGGGACAAGTTTTGTTAATTTAAAAAAAACCATCTGAACCACACACCCAAAACAACCCCTCAGAGCCATATTCAGTTGCCAAGCAGCTGGCAGCAGTGCCCTGCTGATTGTGTCTTAGAGGATCCGTGAGGCTCAGGGCCTCCCTCCACTGTGAGATGAGGTGCCCTCTTATCAAAACACTGCCTCGGGGACAGGGAGCTCTCCCTCTTATCTTCAGAGGGTGTTGTAGGAGGAAAGGTAACTCCCAGCGGCTTATGCAGACAGAAGGAAAAGAGATATTGAGGTGACTTCCCACTCCCATTTTCATGGTTCTGTTTTCATGGTATTCACCTCTGGGCTCAGTGGAAGGTGTTGCTCTTGCACAGCAAAGCAAGAACAGAAAAATGCTGGGTTTTGGAGGTGAGGTCAGCAGCACTTCAGCCTCTCTGCCTTTTTTTTAATAGTCGAGGGTGGAGAAGATTGGAACGAGGAAGAGTATGTCTCTGATGAGAGCCTGAGGCAATGGGGGAGCTTGAATATAAACCATTAGACTTGGGACACTGCTTCAGGAACGGAATGTTTGATAAATTAGCATAAGCTAAGGTCTTTGTGGAACTGTAATAGATATCAGGACTTTAAGCAGGCCTATGATGTTTTAAAATTAGTCACTTAAATTTCTTATGCTTAAAAATGTTTATTTGAAGAAGATATTTGGATTCTTACAGCAAGATTAAAATGTTGTATAAAACTTCTCTAGGCCTAGGCCAGATTTAGGGTGATTTAGCTGCAAAATAAACGTGAGGTATAACAGAAGTGATGTTCCAGACACAGTTTCTACCTGTGTGTGTTTGTGAGAAAGGAGATTAAACAGTTGCTTAGGAACCTTAATTAACCTTATAATCAGATGATTCCCAGGTGTTAAGTTTGGATGTTTCAGAATCTGACCATGTAGTGAATCCCCCAAACTAGTCTGATGCTTCCATGAAGAGCCCAATATCTCCCATGGAACTGGGAGAAGTGGAGGGATGGGTTTCTATCCAAAATGTTAATCTCTTCTCACCTATTTAAAGCTGGAGGGGGGGAGAAGGGAGGGCTGTGGTGGTCAGTGAAAGGTATTTTCAAGGTAGATCTGGTAAATACAGGTGATATTTGTGATTGTTTCTGCTGCTTCCCCCACCCTCTGCCACAGCAGCAGCTGCGGGATGTGGAGCCACCTGGCCTGGGAAATCTAATAGATGGTGATTAACTCGAGTTTGTCTGTTGCAGGAACAAAGAAGAAAGCTGCATGTCCAGGACTCGGCCTGTTTTATACCGTACTGTCTGCCTTCCTTTTCTCAGTGGCCTCTTTATTTCTTAAAAAAATAGAAGATGTACATTCGGTGGAAGTGAGTGCATTTCGATGTGTTTTCCAAATGGCATTCGTTCTTCCTGGTTTAATATACTACAAGTAAGTGTAGCAAATGTTTAAATTCAAAGTTACTTCTTAAAAATAGATGTAGAAATATCACTCACTTAAATTGGATTGCAGTATTATTTTAATTCAGACTTCAGTTGTGTAACAGCATTGTTTTGGATTACTTGATAGTTTCTTAATATAATTCATAAAACTGAAAATCTTTGACGCCCTGAATTTTAGAGATTTCTACAGGGATTGTGTCAAATGTCTTGATCTTCCATGAAGTGGTGATCTTAAAAAACCAAACAATCAAACAAAACAAACAAACCCAAAGAAACCCCTAATTTGTAAATACTCTTGGGTTATTTTGCAAGCAAGATATTAATAGCTAGAATGGGTTCTGGACTCTGAATGTGGTTGGGGATGGGAATAAATTGGTCTTTGATCGGTTAAAATGTCATTTTGACATTTGAGATAAATCCCTGATCTAGAAAGGTGTGTACAGTTAAATATGGTGGGATATTGGTCAGGGCATAAGCAGGCCAGTGACATTAATGTGACATTTCTGTTTTTCAGAACAGGGTTTTTGGGACCAAAAGGTAAAAGAATTTTTCTTTTCTTCCGAGGATTTCTTGGCTCTAGCGCAATGATTCTGCTCTACTACGCTTTCCAAGTCATGCCACTGGCCGATGCCACTGTTATAACTTTTAGCAGCCCCGTTTTCACATCCTTGCTGGCGTGGATCTTTCTCAAAGAGAAATACAGTCTTTGGGATCTCCTGTTCACCCTCTTCGCAATCGTGGGAGTGGTTCTCATTGCCAGGCCACCCTTTCTCTTTGGGTCGAGTGTTACGGGGATCGAAGGCAATTACACCAATCACCTCAAAGGAACTATAGCAGCAATTACAAGCACAGTATCTGCAGCTTCCACTATTGTTATTCTAAGGAAGGTGGGGAAATCTGTGCATTACTTCTTGTCAATTTGGTATTACGCAGTCATTGGTTTAATTGGGTGTGTTATAGCATTGTTTGTTATGAATGAATGGCGCTTGCCATATTGTGGTAAAGACAGGGTTTTCCTAATATTGATAGGCTTGTTGGGGTTAGGGGGTCAGATATTTCTCACCAAAGCATTGCAGATAGAGAAGGCTGGACCTGTGGCCATAATGAAAACAATGGATGTGGTCTTTGCTTTTATTTTACAAATTCTTTTTCTCAATCATCTCCCGACTTGGTGGACTGTGGGTGGTGCCCTTTGTGTAGTGGCCAGTAGTTCTGGAACTGCCATTCGTAAGTGGCGACAAAGCTTGAAAAAAGCAAAGCAAAATGAAATCTAACAATGCAGACACTAATTCTTTACAGAAATGAGCACTCTTGAAATATATATACAATATTTATTTTTATTTATTTGAAATATCTCATTAACCAAATTGTAGTACCAAGTTGTATCCAATAAAATAAGTTGATTTTTTTTAGAAAACAAAATCAAAAATGTTTTAACAGTTGATGAGGTATTTGGTTTTCTTTTTCACATCTGGGCATGCAAGTATGAGAGGTAGAAAGATATTTAAAAGTTGCTTGCTTTCTATCAAAGGTGGACAATAGTTCTTTGGCTTTTGTTTTCCTAAAATTCCTGATTCTTTCAGACCCTTTCTCTATTCTTCTGAGCTGTGGAAATCAGTCTTCCAGGCTTATTTAATGCTGTTCTGTGCTTGATTACCAGAGGGATTGCAGTACAGAAGTTAGAAGGGAATGAAGAGTTATAATCCTATAAACATCCAACTTTTATAGGACGGAATAAGCTTGCACATGTACAAGCTTTCTAATTTTTTTGTGTGTGTGTGCACAAAACAGATGCCAAATGGGGAATTATTTTTAATTGGAATTCTAAAAGAACAAAGGCTATTTCATCTTCCCAAGTAATATCAAGAGAAAATTAACATGTGAAAATTATTTATCAGCTTTGCTTTCTTTTAAGAGGAATTTTAAATGTTTGCACTTGCTTTACAGACATAATGAAATGTCCTCATCCCTTTTTCTTGATGTGTTTTTCCCAATAAACATGTCTTTAGTTGCTGCAATCTCAGTGATGAGAGACAATAGTTCAATACCACTCATAAATCAGCTGTTTCTTGTGGTATGGAATGTTATGCTGTAGCTGCACTTTCTTTATTCTATGCAAAAGATTATATTTTTTAGGTATTCAATATAGGTTATTTTAAATGCTGCTTATGACTCTTTTGTTTAGATTCTTTTGTGCAAAAGCTCTTTATGAGACCAAGTTTAAGTCATCTTGGCCCTCATGAAGTTAGGAGGATTTACAATAAAGCATTTGCCAGTTTCCTGAGAACTTCCCGGAGCGCAGAGTAGTTGGTTTCACAGCAGATGCAGGTGATGATAGCAACAAACACTAAGCAAAAAAGGTTTGTGTTGTTGATCCTAGTGTCCTTCATGTTTGAGGAGGAATATCTGTTTAGTGTCAGGGAGGGGGATTTTCCCGAGTGGTGTCTCGTGCTTCTGGGGCTTGTCTTGGTAGCCATTAAAGACAATTTTAACTTGGATCTTTATTTAGTCCAAAGGCTGTTTTCAGCTGTTTACTTTGGTGTTTTTCTAAAGCGGAATACTGTGTTCTGCAGGCTTGATACATGTGGGGTTTTTTCCAAAATTACTAGAGGTGGCGGATGTTTTCTTATTTTGGTGTACAGATGCCACTTCACATCTTTTTTTTTCTGCCAGTGAGCTCTGCAGCTGGGCAGGTCCAGGAGGTGAGTCCTGCAGGACTGGGGTGGGTATTGTATGCTGGGTGTCCGTGGGTGTGAGGAGCCACCTCCATGCAGGATCTGTCCCTAAACCAGCACCCTCCATCTGTCCATGTGGTCACGAGCAGGTTCCCTGGGGTGAGAGCTCCAAGCAGGAACTGGTCCTGTCCCTTTTCTGCTGCTCCTTCAGGCTGGAGTTTAGCTACTGCTGACAGGGCCAGGAGTAGCATGAAACTGCTTTCACGTTCTTCAAAGCTTGATAGAATAATGAAATCCCAGTTTAGCACCCGTTTTGCTTAGTACTCGGAATTGTGAACTGGGATTGTTCGTTCTGCTGTTCAACTGCCACTGCCATTGAGCAAGAGTTTTCAGGGGAGGGAGGGAAAACAGGCTGCATTTTTTACTGCTTCACTTCACGTTTAATATGCGTGTGTTTGAATTGACGCTATAGGGTGGGGTTCAGAGCAGTTTGGGTTGATGCAAACTGGGGTTGTCGGCCAGTCCCGCTGCCTCCTGTGGCTCCTGCGGTTCCGTGCTGAGCTGGCCCCGAGGCTCCTCCAGCTACAGAGCTTCTTGGTGAGGTGTTGGAGGGGGCAAAGCAGAGTGGCCTGGACCTGAGGACAGTGTGAAAACATTTGGAAGGGGGAAAAAATAAGATAGCAGTTGAAATTATAGCGTATGAATGCTGCTTTGTCAGTACAGAGTACAAATAATGTGAAAGCTTACATTGGAAAAATTTTTAGGTCATGTGATTTCAACCAGTCTTGTTGACACTGAGCAGAGAACAGACTCCTGAGGAAAGGACTCTTTTCTTGCCTGTAATACATAAGCAAGTGTAGAAAATAAGCTGACCAGAAATCAATAACCTGATACAGTGATTGGTAACTTTTCTCTCGAGTTCTTGCAGAAACCCTTTTGATGTATTTCCACACCCGTGGCGCCAAAACCCACAGATGATTGTTTTCTTTCCTTGTCCAAACCTATAGGGTTTCCCTATGGCTCCATCTCATTATTTCCTTTTGCTGTTCCTAAACCTTTCTTAAGTTGCTAAAGTAATAATCTAAGCAAGATACTATGTAGGAGAACATTGTATTTCTTGGAACACTGTTGTGATTTTGATCCATCTTTTAGAGAATCATTTAACTGCTGTGAGAACGAAGGACTTGAGTAGGGCTTCTCTAGAGGCACAAGCAGCCAGCTTATATAAAGAGCATTTCTAGATGTATTTGGGAATGGAAGACGTTTAAGCTTTAAGTTTTTTCAACAACCTCAGTTTTTACATTTTTCTTCCTCTCAGATGTAGTTTAAACCCCAAAATTTTAGTTGGAAGCTTTGAAGAGAACGAAATTATACAAAAGTATGGATACCCTAAAATGTTGGGGTTTTTTTAAATTGAAAATATTTCTACCATTCCTGTTAAAATGGTCAAACTTCTTTTTAATCTTCCAGAGTTTAACAGTTTGACAATCTGAAATGAAACTGGCTGAGCCTTGATTCTTTTGGATTCCAATTTTTCCTTTTTTTTTTCTCTTCTGTCCTTGGACAGATTTTTACTTTCAAAATCTTTTTTAGCTTTTAAAGTTTTAATACAGCAAGCTTCTCAGGGTCAAATGTTATTTTTCTGAGCTTTGAGACAGAATATATTATTAATGTTCATCACCTGTAGTGTCCTGTTGTGGTCCTTACAGTATTTTTAAGATAAATGTACTTTTCTAATAAAAATCCCTCCCTCTGTAATATGATGGGATGTTGTTGCATTGCGATTGCTGTGCTATAAAGTTAAGTTTCTCCTGAATTTCAACGTACTAATTCAATGTACTGATTTCAGTGGGTCCTGAACAGAAGGAGTAATAATTAATTATTGGTTGTTTTGCACATAAACACAGGGCAGAAAGACCTCGTTGTTGCTGAGGCACCACAGGTGTGTTTCTGGTGTTCTGTACTATGCAAACTCTGTAATATCTGTGGTCTTCAGTGGGACTTTATTGCCTCAAAGCCTTATGTACCCAGCTCCTCCCTAAAGCCTGTGGCTGACAAAGCTACCTACTGTCACTGTGCAGCCACCCGTTTCTTTTGGGTTTAGTTGGTTGTCAAAGTGTGCTCTAAAAGCTCTCTAAATGCATCTACACTCAGAATTTGACAAGCTCGTGTGTAGACGAGGACAGTCTATGTGATTAAAATGGATTTCCTGCATTTGTCTAACACCAGGCATGAACTAACCTCAGCATAACTAAGTGAAATAACTAGTTCAACGTCTCATTTTTCTTCTGAAACCTGAAACTGGGCTCTTTCCCAATGCCAAAAACTGTTATAAGACTGCTCATCCAGTAGCTGGTAATGACAAGATCGCTTTTGGTCGTTGTTTAGCATAAACACTTTGCCCTCCGCAGCGTTTTCTCCTCCTTGAGCTTTTGTTGGAGAGCAGTCTGTTGGGAGAAAGCTGATTTCTGGTGGCAGTGATTCCCTGGCTGAGCAGCAGTAGTGAAGCAGAGGAGTCTGTTTCCCAGCTCTCTGCCCACAGCAACCAGGGTGGCACCAGTCCCAGGAGGGCGGCAGAGCAGGGTCTGTGTCCCCGCCTGGGGTCAGGCCGTTCTGTGCTGGTAACGGCCCATCCATCCAAAGAAAAGTTGTGGCTTTATGTTCCTGCGGACACAGGGAACTTCAGGGTGGAACGTCCACGGACCTCTATGGTGATAACCCTTCTGTCTATCAGAATGAGTTGGTTCCTATGTTCTGTGAGTTAGTGTTTGACAAAAAGGGGTTAAAAATACCCTCAGCATTAATGAGAAGATTTTTACTATGTCCTATATATTGTTAAAGATATGTTGAATTATATGTTTTGTAGAAGTTGCTGGCTTTGTTATGTAGTAGTATATTTTTATAGATGATTCTTATATATTGAAATGTTAAGAATATTTTCATAAGAGATTTATATTCATCATTGCTAATAAAATGAACCTGAAGAATGAACCTCTGGCTTTTCATTCCTTAGTAGAACATGTTTGAATGTGGTGATTGTAAAAGCTTTATGAAAGAACTGTTAATCAGACAGTCCCTGTTAAATATGAACATATGCCTCGAATTCTGCCTCTGTTAGTGTGCTGTGTCGTTCTTTAAGCCTTGTAACGAGCCAGAGCTGGAAAGAAGCTCCACCAACCCCCAGACAGCAGTTCTGTGGCTGCAGACACCGTCGCACTGCCAGGTCAGTGAGATCACATTCTGCAGCGTCCAAGCAGCAGTTTGGGTTTGTGGGGTTCTGTTTGGTTTTTTTGTTTTATTTCTCCAAGTCGTGATTTGAATTCAAGTCTTGCCCCTTTTGTCACAAGGTGATCCTCTGGTTCATCCCAGTGCTTCCCTTTATCTAGTGTTTTGTTCATTGAATCAACTTTTCACCAAAAAGGGGAAAGCAGAAGGAAAAAAAAAAATATCTCATATGCGAAACCACCACCATTGCTAAATACTAAGCAAAGATTGTAGTAATTTTTTTAGTACCCTCTTCTTCACCTTATATGCTCAAAAATTAAATCCTTGTGGGATGTTCTGACACCATCTGCTTTACAGATCTGGCTGTAAAGAGAAGGAAAGGCAAAGTGCTTCTGAGGGAGCTGTGGGTGCCAGGCATAGGTGGGAGAAGGGTAATGATGAAAAAATTTCGTGGAGAAACACTGCAACTTTCTCTTGGCGGTTCTGTAGGTTCTTTGGAACAACTATAAATGTATAAGATAGAAGTTTAAGGGAAGGGGAAAAAAGAGCATTTTGGATAGACAACATTAAACCAGTGACATGGCACACAGAGATGAGGGCTGTTACTAAATACTGAGGCTCTTGAAACAAAATTCTAGAATTATATCTGCCTGCTCAAAAAAAAAAAAAGGAATCAAAGGATTTAAAAGGAAAAAGCATTCCCGTTATGACTTCCTGTTTTCTGGTCAGCCACTATCAGGTTCTGTACTTTTCCCTCTGTGCTGTGACTGTTCGGTCAGTAGATGGGGCTCTGTGTCTGTCTTTATTCCTTAATGTGTAAGATTAAACAATACTGTTAAAAACCCAAATCCACAGTTCTAGGCAGTAAAAGTTTGAAGTCAGTGCGATGTAGATGATGTAAATACCTCAATCTAAACAGGATTGCCCATGCTATTGGAGCAGTTAAATGACTGTACAGACTGCTGCTCAGCAGTAATGATGGCTTAAACCCTGTCCAGAGGTTCTAAGCTGCATCCCCTTCTCTGAGGAAAGTGGGTGAGAAGAGCGTTAGCAGTGCTCCCTGGAGCTCTGCTGCCCCAAAATGCTCCTGGGAAAGCCAAGGGGGGACCTTGGCTGTACGTCTGTACGTCCAGCCTGTGGCCTAAGCATTCCTTAAAAAAAAAAAAAAAAAACCAAAGCAAAAAAAGGAGATGAGAAGCACATTCTTGCTATTAAATTATTTGGAATAACTTGTGATGAGTTAGGATGGATTTAGGCTGATAGTTCTAATTTTGCACAGAAATAGAGCAAATGTGCTGCCTGAGCAGCTGCTCAGCATGTTGTAACTCCTGTCCCCTGTTTTTCTCTTGCTCAACTGAGGGATTTACAACAATATTTTCCGTTCTGCTCTGGTTTTTACATTGGGGCTGTTCCTGAGCGGGTCCTTGGTGCAGGCACTGGGGCAGGGGGGCCCTGGAGATCCTCTAGCACTTCTCCCCAGGGCCCTGCTGTATTCCCAGTATTCCCAGTGCCAGGGCTTTGTGGTGATGGTGCTGCTCTGGTCACTGCGGTGGGGTGACACAGAGAGGCTGGGGGGGCTGGAAAAGCCTCCTGAAGCTCCTGAGCACAGACTCGCCACACTGGAGCCTGGCAGAGCTAGGAACGGGTGTTCCAACCTCAATTTAAGGCAGGGGGAAATACTAGTAAGGCAGGAGGTGAGACATTCAGCTGCTACAGCGGGCGAGAAAAAATACTTGTCAACGCGTTTTCCACCAGCAGGTTGGCTGGGGGGGTTTTGCTGGTGTTACTGGCACTGGGAGGGGTGTTCACTTTAATGGGTAGCACTGGACAGTTTTAGGGAAACTAAGCAACGTCAAAACAGAGAAAAATCTTTTTAATATTACTTGGAAAGGCTTTATGGCAAATCCATTTTATTTCATATAAAGTGCACCATGAATCAGATATTAATGTTTACTTTCTACTTTCCCATTTGTAATTTATTTCTTAAAACAAATATTCCTTTATATGACCATAAAAACTGTTCGGTCACTACTGAGTTTAGATCAGGAAGTGAAGGGAGAAGCTGTGTGCTTTTAAAAAGTAATCCCTATTGGGTCGTTTTTTCACTCTAGCAGAAACATGTCGTGCCAACCAGTGCCTTGCAATAGATGTGTGTGCAATTGCTTCATTAAACATCAGCTTGATGCCCCATCAGTAGGGCCCGTGTCCTGCAGTTTGCAGTAACCTACGTGGGAAGTCCCCGTGGGGACACGGACCCGACGTTCTTTACTCTCCCCATATGGCAAAATGTTTTCTTCATTGTTAAACATGGAGACAGCTAAAGAGATGCCATGATTTGAACTCTCTCCTGTGGGAGGACCACAAACAGCAACGGGTGGCCTTCTCTGCCCCAAACCTTTGCTCCTGTGGTCCCTCTCACTGCTCTGCTTTGCTTGCCAGAGCCCCGGAGCTGTATGTGCCCCACAGTTCATTAGCTCTTCATCTGTGAGAAAAGGTGGCTAATTTAATTTACGATGCTGTCGGCACAGTCAGGCTGTGTTGTGTGTTCAGGGAAGAAAGGAGGGTGTGAATTTTTTTTAAGCTATGCAAACTATAACATTTATAGATTAACTGTATTTCCTGCATCAGCAGAACTTGTACATTTGAATGTCAATGCCTATCGTAAATCATCCTGACCCCCAGCTTTAGGGAGCAGCCTCCTGTCTCTCCCAAGGAAAAGGAGAGGTGTGGGGGAATCTTTGCTCCCGCTGGCAAGGGCTGTCAGCGAGGCAGGATGGTCCCCACCAGCCCCTCCGTGGGACTGAGCAGGGGTTTAGGGCAGAGAAGGAACATTTTGTTCTCCCCTGTGTAAGAACACCCTGGGCTGAGTGTGCTGGCTCCAGAGTGCAGCCCATACCCCGGCCTTGGCATGGAAAACAATTAGAAAACTAGTGTTAATTTCTTTAGCCTTTATTGAAACCTGGAAACCTTGGCTCTGAGGTAACAGGTGCTGCTTTGTGTTACCATGTCAGGGGTTTCATCAACAAACTTATCTCCTGGGTTCCTCCAGAGGAAGGTACTTGCCAGTTTGATTCAGCTCTTGGAAATTTTCTAGAGGACTTTGGTCTTTCCCAGTTTTGTGGTGCCCACAGATATTTTGTAGCATGTTTTCCTAATTTGCCTTTTATCTCCTTTTGTTGGATGCTTAGATGTTTATTTGTGATCTTTACTGAGCAATTTTCCTGAGAGGACAGATTTCCTCTCTCATCTGCACATTTACAAATACGTTCCAGGGAGGCAGTTGATGGAAAAGCATTTTGACTTCTCATTTCTCCCATTGAGATGCTCTTGGTGCATTAGGGGCTTGTAGAGAGCAGCACGAAGGATTATGGTCCACTCTTTGAAATGGCAGCCCAGTTCTCTTGAGGTTAATGAATGTTCTTAGGGCCCCTAATTTTTATGTAGATGATGCCATGTACCATTACGGACCGTTAGCTGTAAAGAGCAGCCACCACCATCAGTCTCTCAGTTGTGCTTTGGGCTGTCGTCTGTGGGATGTGGGAGGGAGAGAGGCAGGCTCCAACACATATATGTCCCCTCAAGGGGACAGGGGCTCTGGGTGTGTGGTGACAGAGACAGAAAGGGAGCAGAGCTCCACGGGGGGGTCAGGACCACACATGACCTCCTGGTCCTGCACACAGCGAGGATTAACGGGATTTGGTATGGTCCATCCCATGCTCTGACCCCTTAGCTACTGCCATGGGTGGACTCTGGCTGGGTGACACTTAGAGCACACCCACAACTCCCAATCGGGGGGAGACACCAACCTTCAGGATGCTGGAAATTTATATTTTGGACCAATGGCTTATCCAGCTCTTCCCATTCCAGCCCCTTTCCCAGTTTGGGTCTTTACAGCAGTTTTACTGTTGGACTCTGGGCAGCAGTGTTCCTGCACCTCATCTTAGTTTAGAAACTGGGGGTGCTTTTATTTAGTTTGACTACTTGCTTTTTTTTCCCCTTTTCCTCCCTTAATTTTATATTTACAACTTTTGTGATTGTTTCAGGTGTACTTACATTGGCACATTATCAGGCTGGGAGGAATTTTTGGCCAGGTTGTTTGGGATTTTCAGTATTAGATGCCTCATAACCACATATATTTATTTTCTCAGCCTTAGCGTACGAGTCCAAGTTGTAATTAGTGCCTCGGTGCTAAAATGTACCAACATGTCTATAAAAGACAGCATGTGGATGTTTCGATGGAATGAAATTGGGAGATACTGCTTTTATAAAGCTGAAAGCTGCAGAGCAGATGTGGAAGGAATTACTGCAAAGAATCTCAGCTGGCAAATAAAACAGGAGCTGAAGTTTATTTTGCTTTTATTATAAAAGAAAGGACACTGTATGAAGGTTCTGTTATATTGAAGGTCACATAAAATGGAGTTGTCCGGGACTAACTGTATGTGCTGATGGGACACGCAATGGAACAAGGTAATTTTTTTTTTTTTTTGCTTTAAATATTCAGTACTAGAACTTTACACATTGATTGTAACGTGTGGGTTTAGAATTTACAGTGAATTTAATATTCCATTTTTGGGGAGAAGGCTGTGATAGATATGGCAAAGTTCACATCCTTTTCTTAATTTCAAGAGCAAGGTAGCGATTCCCCTTTCCGCAGGCCGATGGTCTGGCTGCTGCCATGGAAAGTCCTGGTCACACGGCCTCCTTTCTGAGTAACCCT